AGCAAAGTGAAATTGTAGACTCATGATAGTCACAGATTCTTAAAACCATAAAGATAAAATTAACTGATTCATGTTATATGTAGTTATAATCATTTTATTTATTTATTTATTTGAGGCAGAGTCTCACTATGTTGCCAGGCGCCAGCCTGGAGTGCAGTGGTGCGATCTCGGCTCACTGCAACCTCCACCTCACAGGTTCAAGCAATTCTTCTGCCTCAGCCTCCCGAGTAGCTGGAACTATAGGCACGCCCAGCTAATTTTTGTATTTTTTAGTAGATACGGGGTTTCACCACGGTCTCAATCTCTTGACTTTGTGATCTGCCCGCCTTGGCCTCCCAAAGTGCTGGGATTACAGGCATGAGCCACCCTGTTGCTAAAGAAAGCAGAGCTTTACATCAAAATAGAAGATGTACACCTACCCACTAGTGGCTTACAATGAAATAGAATTTGGGGTACTTGAAAAAGACATGTTAATCCTTATTAAAAGCAAACTTAAGAAATGTTATCCCTTTAATTATAGATATAAATTAATTGATGTAAATTATATGTGAATTAATTTATATCTTATATATTATATAAATTTAGTCTACAATTCACTATAAATATAAAATTCACACTAATTCACTTATACATATAAAAACTGTACATAATTAAAAATAAGTATATGCATTTGCAATAAGAAAAAAAATCATTTGAGAAGAGAAAAAATGTGAAAGCAAAACAAAAGAAAATGTCAAGTATTATCAATACTGAACTGAAAAGAAATAGAGAAATACCACATGGAGTAGTACTATAATAAGAAAGTGAGTTTGGAATTCTCAAGTCTGTGAGTATGGACACAAAAATTATTGAAATTTTTAATACTTTTTATTTACTGGGGATTATTTTGGAAAACAAGATGATTCTAAGTTGGCAAAAATAAGCAATGTTCCAAGATAATCAGTAGATACGATTTCACCAGAAAATTATGAATGTGATTGGACAAGTGTTGGGTATACCAGATTTGGTTAGATTATGGAAGGTCTTACTGTTCAAGCAAAAGCATGGTGACTCTATTCTAAAATGTATGCTAGAGGCAATTCAGATTTATTTAAAATGTGTGAGACATAAAAATGCCATAAAGAAAAATCTGTTTTGGAAGACTCACAAGCACTTGACTGGGTTGTGATCATGACATAAGACCCGTCCTTGGTACCTAATTATTGAATAATAACTCTCAGTTGAAATAAGCATATTAATTAAGAGAACAGTGTTTTTATCCTGACTCTGCTACTAAGTCGCTCATGAGCATGAACAACTCTACTTCTTTGAATCTCAGTTTACTAACATGTGAAATGGGAATGTGAAATCAGATAATCCCAAGGAATCATTTCAGGTTAAAAATTACGGAAACATTTATTCATGTTGATCCAGGTCCCAAGGAATGATGTCAGTGCGTAAGCAGTGTTTTGATCCCAACTCCCCGACCCCACAAAGAATAAAGCTAAATCAATCGTTCACAGTCCAGTTGAGATGTAATTATTTTGATCGAGTCTTAATTTTAAAAATTACAAAACATAAGAAACCAAAATTTTCCCAAAGTGGTTCAATGCAGAACACTTGAGAAGTTACACACACACACACACACACACACACACACACACACACACACACATTAAATATATTTAACAACTCAATAACATATTGACAAATTCAATGAAAAACCACCTACAGATTTTAAGAGATTAAACTTCACATTCGCTGCAACTAGAAAAACAAGCTATTGTATATCAGTACATCACATTCAAATATATTTTAAAGTATACTTCCCCCTCTTAAAATGGCAGTGAGTATACATTAGTGCAACCATAAAGCACTTGTAAACTTTTTTCTGTTCAACATCATCTATGTCCATCAGAACAGATTCTGTTTGGCTGGCTCCAAGGTCTTTCTTGGACCTGAGCTTTTCATGTTTTTCTATTTTAACAGTTACAGCCTTTATCCATAATCGCAGCCATCCATCCAGAAATGCCCACTGTCCGAGGTTGGGAGAGCTGGTAATATGTAGCTGAATTTGTAGAACTCTTTCACCTTTCTAAAATAAGAACATGGATTTCATTCAAATATTGGAGATAAAACTATATACCATAAACAGATTTTTACTTATCACTTTTTAGGCAAGAAGCTTTACTAAACTGAGTAAGAGTCAGGCCACTGGCAGTTTTAGTGTGATTTGTGAGCATTCTCTCTGCCTCTCGAGAGCCCCTAGTGTCAGGTAAGGGAGATAAGAAAGGATGCATGTCAGAGTTGGCTGACTTCGTATCTGTCTGCCTTGCTTTTAAAATACCACTGAAAGATTGATGGCTAATAAAAGGTGCTTTTTAAAAGGACCTATACAGCTAAGTTTTAATCAAATAAGTTGTAGTTCTCAATATATTATGATTCTTGAGAGCTAGCAACATATCTGGCTTGTAACAGACTATGTAACAAGGCAAATGCACTTTTTTCATCAAGATTCAGTATGTGGCTGTCCGAGGAAGTCATTAGCATGTGCAGTGGAGTGCTAACCAATTAACATGGATCTAATGAGAGGGCACTGACAGAAAGCAGCCTCTTTTCTTAAAATTCAAACATCATCTCAACTTCATTATTTTTTTCATCTTTCTGACAAGAAAAAGTACAACTTCCTTCAACACTAGGGAAACTCAAAATGTTTATTCATTAATTTCCATTCACCTCCCTTTAATTTACAATATGTACACTTTAACAATGACAGAAAAGTGAATTATCAAACTTCAATTATAAATACTGACATAACAGCTTAAATGTATTTCTTAAGCACTACATATGTATTCTTCCACATTCCTATCGTCTACTTCAGATCTGAAGATGCTGGCTCCCTCCTGGTACTCCTCCTCTAAGCAGACTCTTCAGCATAGAATAGCAACTCAAAGGCCAAACCTTCTTGCCCAAGGTGAAAGTGGTCAGGCTTCGATTCTTCTTTAGAAAATGTGGTGCTGGGTCTCATTGGATGGCCTTGTGAGATCCGACCAGATCACTTTTGGACAAAAAGAGGAGTCAAAGAGAACTTGGGTTTCCAGAAAAAATAAAGTGCTGCCCCCTATAAATCAGTCTCTGTGGAATAGGTGTCTTCCTAAAGAGGTAGAAATAATAGGGGGTATGTGTTGCAGATGCCCATATTTCAATAATACTGAACACTGTATCTTTAAGGGCTGCATCTTTAGGGGTTTAAAATGGACTGACTCCACTCATCTCTCTGATTTTTTCATAAGTAAGCCAGAACACCATTGACCAAGGGGTCTGAAAGATTAACCAAAGAAGTTAGTGCATATTTCAAAGCAATTATAAATATTCTACATATATGCATACATATCTTTGAATGACAAAGTCACTTTGCATCCACTTAGGCTGAAAACAAATATTTTGGTATTTCACCTTTGTAAAGGACTTTATAAAACATTTTTATGTCTGATTTATCACAGACTTCTCTAAACAAGATCTTACAATAGGAAGGAATGATATTAATATCCCTGTTTTTCAGATGAGACGAGGCTTAGCAGTCAAATGCCTATTAGCATGTTGTAGAGCTAGACCACAGGCTTCTGTTTTCCATTCTCAGAATTCCTGTTACCGAACCGTTACTGGCTAAAGGGCTGAGATTCAAGATGCCTGAATTCTAGGCAGGCTTCCCTATATATAGTTTGTATATAGAGCATGACATTAAGTCACTTAAGAACTTGAAAGTGTGGAAGGTGAGATTATCCTTGGAGATTTAAGTCATAAGACTAACACCTCATGTCTCACAACATTTATATAAAAATTCAATTAAATAGAGAAAAGCACTTCCAGCTCAGAAGGGCTTGTCTTTAACTTGAATGAAGGTATAACTACATCTAAAGGAATTATAAAAGAATAAGGGTGAGAAGAAGACATAAATGCTAAAGGTGTAAACAGCAAAGACATAGAGGGAAATCACAGGGTAAACACTGGAACAGAGAAAGAGTTCCTTGGATCTAATAATACCTGTCCTGTTCAGTTCTAATAAAAATTGAACAGAGAGGAACTCTATCATTCTGCAGTAGAGAAATAAGCTTAAGCAACTAGAAAATAAAATGTATTTGGTTTTGTCTGTAAAGCAGTATTTATCTCATATTTGTTTGGAAATACTGAGCATGTTATATTAGTAAACTGGGAATTCACTAAATAGTGGATTTAGGAGACTATATCTTGGTTAAAGGTATGATAACATAGATGAAATAAGGAATATAAAGCTATGATGATACAGTATTCTTGTGACAATAAAAAGGAAGTAAGCCAGTATAACTGGAGTTGGATGAAGAAGGTAGAGGTCTTAGTTAAGAATCCCTATGCAATCATTCTTAATTGCTGTGGTAATCAATCTTCTTTTTCATGTTAATGACATTATAGCAACAAAATCCATAGGCAAATGAAATAAATACTAATCAGGGACTAAGCAAAGCAAGATCATAGTACCTCTATCCAGTAGAAAGGATCAGGATAGAGTTTAGCTGGTTTTGAATAGAGTTAAAGAGTGGCTGATCATATAGCCAAAGAATGTGGGTGGTATAGAAATGGGATTTACCAGGCGTCTGTACAGGAGTAGCGCATGTGGGCACTATGCTGGCTTGCTGATTTTCTCACTAATACAGCTATGAGCATTGCAAATAATCCAAGTGTATATGAACCCATGTTGTTTCTTTTGGTCTACATTTTGCCATAAGGCTGGAGAAAAAGCAGAAGCAGAGTCCCTTTTCATGCCTCCTACTGTGGAGTGGAACACATAAAAGCTCTCTTGGGTTAAGTTTTTAAGCTCTTTCTGTTCTGATTCTGTGTTAAGTAATCTTCTGATTATTACTTGAGTACCCATATAGCTTGAATTTAGGAGAAAACACATTGGCCAGAGGACTTGAACATCTAGATCACTTGCCAAATGTGTTGTGCAATGTGAATGAGCCAAATATTGTGGCCTGATCATCAAGTCTGTATTTTCAAGGCCAATTTACATGGACGTGCCCATGAGTTAGGTTTCTGTGCTCAGGGTCATGCACTGTGGCAAATCAACAAGGCAGTCACTCCCTGGTGATCTCTGGTGGTTAGCCAGCCTTTCTTCAAATAATCCTCCACTGCTAGGAATGTCTCTTCACTTTTAAAATTTCTGTAGCTAGCTGCAGAATGTTGAGCATATCAGTATATTGTATTAGTAAGGAGCATAGGATTTTGAGTGGAACAGACCTGAAGTCAATTCCCAGCTCTGCCACATACTAGTTACATGAAGTTGGGCAAGCTTCTTATACTTTGAGCCATGATTTTCTTATCTGACAAATGAGGATAACACTACTTGTTTTGCTAGGTTCTTATATGGTTTTAAAAAATAATGTATGTAGAGCTTTGTACATGTTAAGTACTCTTTTTGTCATTTATACTTCCTGAGACATATGTATAAAGACTAAGGATTAAACAAAGTGGGCCCATCCTTTGTATTTACATATTCTCCTTGCCTCTCATCCCTCTTGACCCTGATTTTGTGTTTCTGCAGTGGTCTCACTCATTCTCCTAGTTTCCTGCATTAGAAACAGAAATCTCATTTGCTTTTTTCTGTCCCTCACCTTCCCCATATAATCAGTTACTAAGTCCTGTGGAGTTAACCATAAATGTGCCTAAAATTTATTTCTCTCAATTTCTACAATGATCTAACTGGTTAGACCATTGCCAAAACTTCCTTTCTTATATCCTAGCTTTCAATGTATCTTCTGTACTACTGCCAAAGTAATCTTGCCGTCAAACAAATATTAGCACGTTGCTCCCAGGTTTAAGCAGGTGTTCCATAGCGTTCATCTAAACCACTAGGCTTGGCCCACAAAGTTCTTCCCAACTTGGTCCTTAAGTAATTCTCTAGCCTTATCTTCTACTACCTCCCCTATAAGGACCTGTTCTTCAAGCAGACTGAATTATCTGTAGTTCTTCAAACATAACAGGCCTATATATGACATGATACCTATGCTCATGTTGCACTCTTATATTTCTCTTGACAAACACCTATTGATGCTTCAAAGCCCAGATCAAATATCAACTCTGTGAAGCCTCTTGCAACTTCCCAAATATGGTCATAACCATTTCTACTCCACTGTCTGTGTTCCCACAGAATACTGTTCATAGCATTGGCATGAACAGGTGAGTTATATGAACAGAGTACTGTTTATACCACTTAATAAGGCTGTGTTATCTGGTGTCAGGCCGTCTGGGTTTGATGCTCTGAACCACTCACGTAGCCGAGCTATTTAGACTCTTGATGCTTTTGTTTCCTCTATAAAAGAGGGATATGTTAGTAACCTACTGCACAGATTGTTGGGAGAATTCAATGAGTTAAGCCATAAAAATGATTAACAGTGTTGGCCATATACCAAGTGACTCAGTAGTATTTATTTAGTAATTTTTATTATTTCTGTAATTTTAACTACTTAGATGTTTAACTTCTAATCTCATTGTAAGCTCTTCTAGTGCAAAGACTATGTTATTCCTCAGTGTTATCAGTACGTATAACAGCACCTAGTGTATGCAGACCAAATCAAAATTTACCTTTCCAGTAAGAAAGAGCCACAGTTTTGATATAATTTCAAGGTATAATCAAAACCACCAAAAAATAAACTCTGGTATACTTAAACTCAGGTATTGCCAAGGGCTTTGACTATGAATTTCATATTAATAAAGAAAGACCTACTATTCCTTTGATATTATTTATTACCAACATTTCAATTACCATCTATATGTAGAAAATACTCAAATCTAAATCTCTACCCGTGTATTCTCTTCTGAGACCTAGACCAATATACTTAGTTTGTCATCTACACATCTCTGCTCGGATGTCCTATGGGTATCCAAAATTTCACATGTCTTAAACTGACCTTATTTTACCCCAAAATCTTCTTCCCTGCAATGATCCTCATTTTAGGAAATTATATCATCATTATCAGTTGCTCAGAGCAGGAATCTTGGGGATGAAGTCTGACTTTTCCTTGTCTCCTCCAACCATTCTCCCATCCCCATCCAATCAGTCATGTTTCTGTTCCCTTTCCACCTCCTAAACATGTTTTTAATCCATCTTCTGTCCCCACTGTCATACGCTTGTCCAAGCCACCATTATCTCTAATATGTCACTACTCTTAGCCTTTTCCCAATCCACACGACAGGCAGAACAAATTTTCTAAAAATGCTTATTTCTTCAAACCGGTACCCATTACCCTTCTGGCTCATATGACCCTTCCCAGTGTGGTGTCTGCATTTCTCTGGTCTCCCCCTTTGCCTCTCTCTCTGAGGTCTCTGTGCCTTGGCCTGCCTGGTTTCCTTGAACTCGTCCTGCCTTCTGTCCACTCCAACTGTCCCTCTATAGAGAATGTTTCTCCCTGCCCTCTTTACCTGGCTAAGTCCCACCCATTTTGCAAATCTAAATTCAGAAGTCCATTCTCCAGGGAGGTTTTCTTAATTGCCAGCCTAGGCTGTACTTATTTGCTATATATTTCGATAGCACTATGTACTCTTCCCATAACATTCATCACTTATAGTTTCTTATTGAAAGCTGAGACCTCAGTACAGGGCTTTGCATGATATAGGTACTCAATTAAATATATATATATAATATTACATTATATATAATTGTATTATATTGTGTTAATTTTTGATTGCTTGCATTTCTAAACCTATAACTCACCCATGCTTTCAAACGTTTTAACTTACAAAAAGTGTCAGCACTTTGTTTTTATTATATTTGCTATATTGCTTAAACAAATCTAATTCTATATCTTAGTTCACTGCAATGAAAAATAACATCTCAATCAAATAAAAATGACATAATGCTTTCTTATTAAGCAGAGTTTTGTGGTAATAAATATTAATGGGTAATGTAACATTTGCCATCAAAGTAACAAATTTTTTTGAAATAGTAAGTTTCTTTCGTAGGAGCAGTCTCTAGTGTAAAATCTGTATATGTGTCCCAAAATACTGTATTAAAATATAACTATATGGAATACTAAAAATTTTACATTACCAAAAATCTATTCACTAGCTTTGTAACAAGACTATCAACCTGTTCATTAACGGATGTAACTTATTTTACCTTACTCTACCACAGAAGGCAAGATAACTGAGGAGAGGTGAAAGGAAATAAAAGAAGATTTAAAAAATAAGAAAGGACCTTGATTTGAGGGGCAGGGCCATGCTTCAAGCCAGAAGAGAAAAGGGAAAATGCTTATAGATTAAAAGTAATTTAAGTACAAAAAAAAAAAAACAACAACACACAAAGGAAGTAAACCTAACTTTACCATTCTCAGCCAAGATGGTAAAAAGCCTTTATATAGACTCATGAATCCTTCACCTTGAACAGCCTGAATCAAGCAGTCAGTTGATGATTTATATAAAAGTCCCCTACAAAGGAAATAAGATCCTTTTGTTAATTATTTTCTGTGTTAAAAATATGTATACATAAAATAATATTGTCTAAGGAATCTTATTAAAAATTAAGTATTTTCTGCTAGTTTAGAAACAAAAATTTGTGGTTCTACAGCTACAGATAACTTCTTTTCATCTTAAAGAAATTTTCAAGGTTAACTCTTCTGATTCATGCCACCCTTGGTCTTATATTTAGAATTCACTCTATCTGATCTCTTCCAGAGAGAACATACTATTTAATATCAAATCAAATTCTCCATGTTACCTACTCAAGTCATAAGCTTCTGAAGAAAATGCTCTGTAAATTCTCAGCAGAGTATGCTTTCAAAAAGTCTTTAAAAACAATTAAGCCATAACAAAAACCTTGTGTCTAAATGATTGTTAATTAGCTTAACTCCCCAAATGCATGTCACTTTCATCGAAAAGCAGTAATTGCATAAAAACGATGCTCTCAATTTTCTCAAAAAACACACAAATACATTTCTATCAAAAAATGCAGAAAGGCATCTTCAAAGAACAATGCTATTACAAACATTCAAGCACATGAATACTGAAGACTTTTTACCTACCTTCCTTGTTTATCTCGTGGTTGATTCATTATTCTGCTTTTGATGACATCTGCTGGTGTTCCCAGAATAGAAGCTACCAGTCCAGAACATAAACTACAAATACAAATAAATGAAATTGCAAGATAATATGTAGGAGTTTCTAGAATTTAGTATTTAGAAAGAATACTAAACATTATAATAACCTAAATATTATAATAATGTTCTTTTAGCTTAATGCCAAATTAATTAAAGAGGTAGAAAAAAACAAAAACAAAAAGAATGTCCGTCAGCAAATAGGGATTGTGCACCTGCTGGTGCCAAGCGTTCTTCTAGGCAGTGAACAAGTCAGGTAAGACCCTGCCCTTGAGGAGCTTATACTCCACTTGGGAAAAGGCAGAAGAGAAATAAATTATTTCAAAAGCTGCGAAAAGCTGTGAAAAAATGGGAAATGTGACAGGGAGCTACCAGGTGACAGGCAGTCAGGAAAAGCTCGTGGGGTGACAGCAGACCTGAGTGGTTAAAAAGGATACATCTATGTGAAGACCTGAAGGAAGAATGTTACAAGAAGATAGAACAGTACATGCAAAAGCCCCGAGTCAGTAATACTCTTGGAGTGGTTAAATGCACACGCGCACACACACAAACACACATACACTCCTACCTCCAAATATTTGACCTGACACTATTAATATACTTTGAGGGTTGTCTACTTTTAGGGTCATCTAAATAGCATAGGAAATTTTTGAATTTGGAAACAAGATCAGAAGCTAAATGAAATCACTATAATGTCAAGGACTCTACACATCTATAAAATAACTAATTCTAATGGATAATTTGAAATTGTGTTGCAAAGAGATCAAGGCAATGCTCCTTCCTGGAAAGGGCTTCTTCCTGTCCCTGTCTGTGAAGAAACACATCCTTTCAAAACCTGTGTCTATTTCTACCTCCTTTGTGGATCTTTCCAAGTGGTGATTTTTTTTTCTCCTTCCTCTGAACCCTGTAGTAACTAGTTGCTTCCTTTTAGCATTTTGTGGATCTTTCCAAGTGGTGATTTTTTTTCCT